TATAAAAAGTGTAGAATTATTTACAATTTGTATCACAATAGCAAGTAGAGAAGCCAAATAAATTGTGAGTTGCTTAACACTGGGCAATGTGCAAACATAGCACAAACATCACAGAAATATGCAACCTAAACAGACCAGACAGCCAGAGGGTGAGAGAGGAAACAAAGATGCATGCTAAATAGTTACAAATTTCCAAAGCCAGAATAAAAACCAAAGGAAGTTACAGAAAATACATTAGAAACCTAATTAGGGTTTTCATACTAAACTTAATTAGTATTTCATCAGGATTCTTCCAAGTGTAAAAATGCTATTGTTCGTGGAGTTTCATTTCTGTCAGAAAAAGACAATGAATGAAGGTATGCAGATATTTTATTGGAGGCTCACAATGAAGAAAATACATCACTGCAGCTACTTAGCAAAGTTCCTTTCTGATAGAAACAATATGACTATCTGAGAAAATCCCATTGGGTTTGCATTTGGTAAGTTTCTTCTGTTTAAGGATCTTCGTTTTATTATGCAGAAAAGCTCTGAGCCACTTTGCCAAGTTCAGGTCTTTACATGTTGAGTGAGAAGTTACTGAGTCAAGAGGACACACATTCTTTTCCATTCTCCCCACAGTTTTTTGTTGAGTGGTAAATCTGCCTCACACTATTTGGTGAAAGAGCACCTCAGCTTGTGTTTCAGGTGTCTGGATCTAATTCAGAAAAATACATATGCTACCTATAAAGCTCTAAGGGAGCACCGTGCATCAGCTGCCACGTGGGTAGTAATCAAGCCACATACACAAAATACATACAGATTAAGAGAGTTTGTTGGGACTTCCAGATGAAACTTCTGCCTCGTCTGGAAAAAAAAGCACAAGTGTTTTCCTTACCCTGGCTTGTTTACAAAGAAGAACCAATTAGAGGAAATAGTGGACAGTGAATATCCTCAGCAGCTTCCTATTTTACCCTAAAAGAAGACAAGCAAGGAGTTAGCCTTTCTACTCCACCCACACCACCCCCATTCACTGAGTGAGCTCCCCTTAAAACTGGCAGCTATGATGGGAGTCTCTTTCTGCAAGGGCACGAGCCTTGCAACCAACTCAGCAATCAGAGCATAACACATTGCCTCTTGTTAGCTGAGCCACATGAAGAGACAGTATTTCTGGTTCCTTGCCTCTGGCAGCTGCAAAACAATATAAGTTTGCCTAGGCTGCCATCATGAATCACAGAATCACCAATCATTTAGTTTGGAAAAGATCTCCAACATCATGGAGTCAACCTTTGCCTGATCACCATGTTGCCAACTAGACCATGGCACTGAGTGCCAGTCTCAGTGGTTTCCTGAACATCTCCAGGGAAGATGACTCTACTACCTCGCTGAGCAGTACATTCCAATGTTTAACAACCCTTTCCATGAAAAAGTTCCTTATGAAGGTATGAGGGCAGACAGTTGTCACAGGTAAGAGATACAGATATGATCAGCTAATGCAATTCAGTGAGTAGCTGTCTTGACCACTTTTAATTGCTGGTACATACCTTCACTGACATCTATATGGGTGGAATCCTGTTGTGTTCATGATTGTTACATCCACACACAACTATTTAGTCACAATTAGTGTGTGCATTTTATTGCTCATTTGAAAAAGCAGACAACACATTTTAAAATTTGGAATTATAAGCTAATTTTCCCTTTTAAAATAAGTCTTTTATTTTTTCACAGACACCATATCCCAGTAACGATAGATTTTTCTATCTGTTTTGTGTGGTATGTTAACTAGCAAAAATTCTGGACCACAGGGTTGGAAAGACATCATATGAAGCATGAAAGGTTCATATAAATGTTGAGTTATTTCTGCCTGACCATTTCTTTCAGGCTTTGTCACGAGGCCCTGAGGACAGCAGGAGAGGAAGAGGTTTCTGAAAGATAAAGTTCTTGCCTATCTTTGGATATGGGAGAAGTAACTTGTAGAAGTAGCCAGTAATAAGGGCAGGACTGTCACTGAAGAAAGAAATCAGGAGAATTGCCAGTATTTAGTCAGAAGGACATGAGAAACATACTTGGAAAGTGGTAAAGGCACCATGACTGCATTTTTGAGGAACTAACCATAATAAAGCAGAATAAAAACTGTTGGTCAGAGCACTTTTGTCCAACACAGTTCAATCTTCTGAAGGTTTGAGTTCACTTGAAAGCATGGCTGGCTCTATACACAGTTTGTTCTCACACACAACATGATTAGTACTCTGTTTGTAGTGATGGCAGCTGGATATGCACCATTGCTGCCAGAAGAAGCCTGCACATGACTGTCCTCCAACATGATTTTGGCATATGCTTTCACACTGCAGCCGAATCTTCTGACTGCTGCTAGACCTGGTCTGAAGGGGTTGGGCTCTTACAGGTTGATGCTGCTGGCTACACAATGTCACTTTGGGCACACCCGTGTCTGTTGGGACACAAGACAGTGGAGAGGCCTGAAACTCTGAAGTGGTACCAGAAGCATCTAACACAGATGACTGTGGATGCACTTGACATATCTTTGTTCCTTGAGAGGAATTGCTGTGGGAAACAGTTGAAACAGCGCTTGATGAAAATGTCTCAACCCTTTAGAATGTAATGGTACTACTAATTGGATATCCTTCAGGATATCATTACTGTGCTAACAGTTTTGGCCAAAGGTTTGCATTATGCTTCTGCAATTCACCTATTCCTGTATTAAATGTAACCAATAAAAACTGGAAGTTCTTACATCACATATCTTAAATATACAATATTGAAACAACACGTTGCATGGTGCTCCCCTTATTGGTTCATATGCTTACGAAATCAGATATTTCTGGTGATGTTTTATGTGTAAATATGCTTATTCTCAACATTTCCGTGTAAGAACACATTATTTTCTGTGCAAATCCAGCAAAATTTCTTTTAGCATGTATTTTTCAAAATTGCTTTGCTCCTTCTCACAATAGTTTTTCGTGAGTGGAGTCCTGAGAAATGGAGCTTGAGAAAGAAAATGAACTTGTGGTTTTAAACTAACTGGATCTGCACCAAAATTCTGGATTAAGTTTCTGTATTTACCACATACTATATATATATGACCTGAGGCAAGGTGTACTGTCTCTTTATGCTTTAATTTCTCATCTTGAAAGCAGGGATAATAATAGTTTCTCTATGTAACAGGATTCTTGTGAAGTAAAAATCCATGAGCAGTAATAATAATCATCAGCAGAATGAAAATAACAATTGCAGCTATTCTTTGCAGGTATAAAATAAGGTCAAGTGCCATGTCCTGTGCTTGGGTCTCAGCAAACCCATGCAGCACTACAGTCTGGGGGAGAGAGCTGCTTGGCCAAAAGGCACTTAGAGGTGCTCATTGAGACCCAGCTCAGTGTGACCCACTGTGTGCCCAGGTGGCCAAGAAAGCCCATGAATTTTGAACCAAGAATAGTGTGGCCAGCAGGACAAGAGAAGTGGTCATCCTCCTGTACTTGACATTGCAGAGGCTGCACCCTGAGTCTGGTTCTGGGCCACTCACTTTAAAAAGGACGTTGAGCTGTGGGAGGAAAGGACAACAAGGCTCCTGAAGGTCTAGGAAGCATATCTTAGGAGGAGTTGCTGAGGTAGCTGGGTTTGTTTTGTCACAAGAAGAGGAGGCCCAAGGGAGATCTCATTGCTCTCTACAGCTCCCTGAAAGGAGGCTGTGCTGAGGTGGGGGTTGGTCACCTCTACTGTGTCTGCAGTGAGAGGATCAGAGGAATTTGGCCTTCAGCTGAGGCAGGAGAATGAGATTAGATATTAGAAAAAACAAATTTTCACTGTTAAGGGCATGTCAGGCATTGGTGGTGGAGTCACCATCTCTGGAGGTGATTAAGAAGCGTCTGGATTCGGTGCTGGATGATGTGGGTTAGTGGCTTAGGGGTTACAGAGTAGTACTAGGTTGATGGTTAGACATGACAATCTTAGAGATCTCTTCCAACCTTGATGATTCTACGGTTCTAAATAAAGGGTGTTCATCATCTAAACACAGCAGAAACACCACCTGCAGGACACTGAGCTGAAAGTGGTTTTCAGTGACTGGCTCCTGAAGGGCAGATCAGTGTCAGGACATGAGTGATGGAGGCGCTTCTCACACTATGTCGTTCTGAAAGCAAATTAAACATAAGTATACTGGTGGGCACAAAGCCCTCTTAGAAAAATATCCAAAACTGTAAAAACACAGTCTGGAGAAATAATAAACCATAAACATACTGACAATTAAAAAACCCCAAAAATTATATTGCCACATTTTTTCACTTTCCTTCATGCTACTGAGCCACGGATGATGTGCAAAACCAGGAGAAGTCGTGCACAGGAGAGCTGGCTACCTAAGTCTCTTTGTAAAAACCACGACTTGACAGCAACAGGGTGTCACTGGGTACAGCTTCCAGCTCCAGTAAAGAATACCTCATACTGTACGTTGATCGTGTTTCATATTAGAGTCATGTTTGCCACGTTCAGCATTTTCCCCTTATTTTGTACTTTTAAAAAGCAGTGTATGATCTGTTGGAATGGAGCTGAGATAGCTGTCTTCGAGAGTCGCAGTGGCACCATACCTATTTTTGAATCAGTAAACCAGCTACAGGTGTGGAGCACCCATGATGACTCACCACCTCTCTGTCAGCAACTCAAGTGACTCCGGGGGAACGGGGGATGTAGGACGCGGAAATTTTACTGACACGCGGAGTGAGCTCGCAGCTGTCAACAGCTGGGGGTCAGAAGACAAATCCCCTGCTCATTTCCTTGCCCGACCACCAGTACACCAGCTTTCGCGACCTCTTTCCGCTAGTCCAGAAGGCCGTGGCGATGCCAGCACATTTTGCTCAGGGCACGGTCAGCGCTGGGGTCGCGCTGCGGCGGGAGCGGAGCGGGCAGGGCAGGGAGCGCTGCGGAGCTGACGGAGGTTGGACCGCGGCGGCGGCGGAGGAGGAGCGGGCGGCACAGCGATAGCGCTGACGGGCAGCGGCAGCCGCTCTTTGTCCCCTCCCCTCCCCGGCGCGCCCAGCCCAGCCGGCAGCGCGGAGCGGAGCGGGCCGGCCTGGGGATTCCTTCCCGGCGCCGCCGAGGTCGCCATCTTCACCCCCGAGCTCGCCTCGGACGCTGCCGGCGGGGCTCCCGGGGAGCCGCCGGGAGCCTGCGCCGCGCCTGCCCGCTGCATGTGACCGGCGGGCGGTAGCGGCCTCCTCCGCGGATCTCGGCTGCGTCCTCCTCCGCCCCCGGCGCGGCGGGGAGGGGCGCGGGGCGCCCGGCGGCGGGAGACGGAGGTGCCGGGGCGCGGCGGGCACACAAAGGAGCGGGCGCCGCCGTGGGCAGCGGTGAGTGGCGGGCAGGGCTGCGGGGATCCCCGCTCTCTCTACCTTCCCTGTACCTGCCGGTGGGCTGGGCTGCGGCCACTCCCTTTCCCGGGGGCCGGCTGGGAGCGATCGGCGGGTTGTGTTGCGCCGCCGCCTGGGACCGCCGGTGTTCCCCGCACCGCCGGCCCCACGGCCGGGCAGCGGCGAGCGAGGGCCGAGCGAGGTGCCCGGGGGCGGCGGGGCCGGTGCTGGGCGGGGCGATGCGGGGGAGGCTCCGGCCGCGCCGCCTCGGGAGCGGGCAGTGCCGCGGGCGCGGCGGGTGATGCTCAGCCGTAATCCCGCTTGACGCTCGGACAAAGAGGAGCAAGAAACACATTTTGTGGTGGGCGATTTAACAAAAAAAAAAAATAATGAGGAGGGGTTTGGGTTTCTTGCGTTTTGTGGGTTTTGGGTATTTTAGGGTTGTTGTGAGGCTTTTGGGGGTGGGCTGGGGTGTTTGGGTTTTTTTTGGTCTCTTTTTTTAATGCCGTGCTCCCCGGCCCCGTCGCCCGAGCGTGCGGCGGCCGGGCAGGTGCCGCGGCGGGCAGCGGGGCCGCGCTGTGCCCGAAGCCGGGCAGGGCGTGGTGCCGCGGCGGGGATGCCGCGACGCCTCCGTCCCTCCGTCCCTCCCTCCCGTGTCCCCGAGCGCCGTGCGGACCCGCCGGGGCCGCGGGAGGGGTGCCAGGCCCTCCCGGCAGGGCAAGGAGGGCGCTGCGCTGCCACAGCAATGACTTTGGTGCGCGTCTAAAGAGGTAAATTAGCGTCTAACAGCGGCTGTTTGAAATGTGGCGCTTGTCTGCGGGGGTGAGCGTGTGGTTGTCGGGCAGTCACTCCGTGTGTGTGACCCTGTGCTCTTACCAGAACTGTCACTCTTCCATAGGAGAACGTTCCAGGGGAACGTGAGGCCCTGTGACGTTTAACTCCGAAGCTGGATATGCATTAAACTGTAAGTTTTCCAGTTTTGTTTCTGAACTTGGATTGATGAATGGCGTGATTTTTTTCGTGTCTGCGAGACAAAAACTTGAGAAGCAATTGAAGTGAGACCCTAGGCAGACTTTTCCCATGCCTGTTGCATACAGATGTCTGTCCTAGACGGCAATAACTGGTCAAAAAATAAAAAAGTAAAGAAAATCTGGGAGAAAGTGATGCCTTAAGCACTTGCTTTAGGTATGGTTATGGCGAAGGGTCTTACATAATCTTCCAGGGCTTACAGTCACCTTTTAGACTTAAATCAGTGTATAGGAAATACCTGTAAGTGTAATACTAGTGTATTTCCCTATATTTCACTGAAATAACTGAGATTAGACGCTGCTTTTTCCTCACTTGTGAGGCATATTTAGTCAAGTGTTTTACTTAGGTGATACGATTAATAGCAGCTCGTTGAAGGTAAAGATATATTTCTGAGTTATTTTTTACAGTGTAAAAATATAGATACATTTTTGAAAGGTGTAATTAAATATTAAATTTCTACTGTAATAATAGGGTTTTTTGAAGGGCGAGAGGGACTGTTGTAGATGAAATTGCAGGACATGATCAAGCAGATGACTACAACTGCTAATGAAATAAGTAGCGGATCAAAACAGCAGTGAGATAATTCACTGTACAAATTTAGTGTATACATAAACTTATATATAACATATACAACTTACACATAACTTATACATAAGCAGATACAAGCAGTATGTCAGCCGCTACATCGCTGCTCTTTTTAAATTGGATTTTCCCATTAGCTTGAGTGAGAAGCTGGAACCTAGATATAGCTGTCTGGGCATCTAAAATTATTTTGTTAACAAGTATGAGTTATTTGGTGTTCAAAACTCTTCCTAATGAAGTTTCTCTGTATCTCTATGTTGTATAGCTTACAAATTACATCACGCAGTCCACATAATGTTATATGGCATTTGTGCATCAGAGGAATGCCCAGAAATACTACAATTAAATTATCTTTTATTCAAAGACTGCTTTACCAAAAAATAATTGTCAATTTACTTGTGCTGTCATGTAACCATACAAAATAAATTTCTTTTGATGCCTGCTAGTAATTCTTATGAATTATGAGTGTTTTGGAAGTTGGTGGCTTGGTATGCAATGTGGTGGTCTGTGGGAAATCTTGAGGACATAGTGGCTGATCACAAAAGAGAAAAGACAGTTAGAAATATTTCAAATATCCCATCATGTAAAAAAAAAATTATTTAGAAACAGGAAAAGGAAAGGAGAAATTGAGTGTGTGTTCCAACTTTCTTTCTGTATGTTTTACTGTGTCTTTTTTAACCTGTATATCAGAGTTTTCATTGCAGTGATAAAATATTAACCCTAAAATGGTTTCAGAAAATCAGATCATGTGCCATGGAGTTGTTACAGTAAATAAGAAGGATTAAATGTCTCATTTAATCTCTTTCCCTAACAAGAAGTTGCTTTTCTAGGAGTAATGGTTATTGGTGGTGAAATAGCACTAATCAACAGTTGTTGCTGTAATTGATTGTCCACTTCGGAGGAGTTCATGTAACACTCATTAACTTGAGCAAGCTTCCACAAACCCTTAAGATACCTGTGCCAGAACTTTTGACCCTGAGGTGGGGCGTGAAGGGACTTCTTTTTTTGCCTCTTCAGTTTCTCCTCACTAGAATTACCGTGCACTGTTAGAAAAATACTTTTTCTTTCACACCACTGACAAGGCGAACATATTTCATTCGGTGATATATCTTTGAGGTGGCAGTTTCTTGAAGTTCAGGATTTTTTTTTCAAACTGTTAGGGATAACACTGAGATACTTGCTTTGCTTAATGTGATTTATAGACTTACCTTTTAGGCGTGAAGCATAATGTGAAATTGAATGACTCAATAATGGAAAAAAAGAACCCTGGTGTTGAAGTACTCCCTGGAGATACTGCTCCTGTTGAATTTTTTTGTTGTTGTTACTTTCATTTTCAGTGAACTTAGCTTGACAAATTAAATGTAAACTTAGCATACCATACTGCTAAGGAAAATCTTTTGCCAGTCTGTTTTGCATACTTTGTTGTGTTTAGTTTTAGCTCTGGACAGAAACCCACTGGGTTCTGGTCAGTGTCAGTGAGTGCTTAGGTAGGATTCAAATGTGACTAATTTTCACTTTTGCGTGAAAATTTCTTTGCCTCTTCAAATTAGTTAGTTCAAATCGGCAACTCAGTTGCAGCTTTTGATTAGACTTGACAGCCTGAGCCCAGGTAGTGAATGGCAGTTTATCATGTAATTCATTAGTGCAATGCATGTTTTTCCTAGGTATGATTCTAGCAAGCGTTATAGACTGTAGCCTTACGTAAACATATGTAAACACTTATCTTTGGTCACCGCCTTACCCCTGGGTGCGTGTTTCTCGTTCTACGCCTCTGTGTACATGTAGATAGAGAAAGTGGATGAAGACTAGTGTGGCCCTTGTTCTTTGTGCCATATTCATGAAAATGTTTTTTACTAGCATGTCTTTTTTAAATTAGCCATCTTGTGTCTCCTAGTTTTAATATTTGCCTTGTATTTCATAGCGAATAAAAGAGTTTTAAAGGAACTTAGGGTGTTGTGAAAGTGTTAGTCACTGTTTTCATACTTTAAAAGTGAGAGAATTAGTTTCTTATATATTCTGAAAGACTGTAGACGATTGGAACATGAATGCCTGTCTCAGTTTTATCACTGCTCAAAGTATACTTAGCAGGTTTAACGTGAAGGAATTACTTTAATATTATAGCTGCTGTATTACTTTTGTGTTAAAAAGTACTGAACCAAAGTGTATTTGATGATTGCACAAATAAATTACTTTAATTTTTTTGAATAGATTAGATGTACATGTGCTAGAAAAGCAGACACATTGTGTTCCCTTCTGTAATAACCAAGCCTGGGAAGAATATAAAGGAGAGAGGGGGAGGAGGAATTCTGCTCTGAAGGATGCTGGTCTTGAAATGGGTTGATTTGATTAATTTTTTTTTTAAAGAACATCACTTGGTCCGAAGAGAGGCTTTTGAGTGACTTAAAGATTTCGTGTTATTTTGATGTAGCAAGTCTCTCTTGCATGGTGAGCGTCTCATTTTATTCTGTGACTAGTGATGATAAGAAATGATGACAAATTCAGGGAAGAAGCAACATGGAGCAATTGAATGTGGGTAAGAAAGCAATCAGGCAGCTGCACTGAACATGTTTAAGTGGAGGCTTCACATAAAGGGCAGATTGAAGAGGAAGTTTAGCAGCGAGAAAGCTGTCTATTGGTAGCAAAGCAAATGTAGGAAAATTAGGCTGTTGAGTGTCCGTCCTATGAGAGGGTCTTGGCTCAGTGCCCATTACATAGACGGGTAACTCTGCCTGAGGACTCCTTTGGTCTTTCTCAGATTGAATGTTTTGTGTGTGCTTAGAAGTGGAAGTGTGAGATGAAACTACAAGACCAAGGGTAGTCATAAGAGGAACAGTAGTTTCTGGTGACTGCTTCGCCTCAACTCCAAGGGGAAGAGGACCTCTCTTGTCTGTGTAGAAGACAACGTTAAGGGGGTGCAGACCTACTTCAAAGCACTCTTACATATTCTTTGTCAGTATCACATTTACAGAATGGCTTAGGAAGGAGGTGTAAGGAGGAAGACATGAAATGTCCATGTAATTGTCAGCAGGTTTTGCTGGCTTCTTCCTGGAAACATAACTGAACTGTATTAACTTCCTCTTCTAATTTATTTAGTTTTCTGTCCAGTCAGATTTGCAATGTTTATTGTGAGACATCAGAGGGAGACGTAGATGCTGGTGTGACTCTTGGGGATGTCCTGTGCAGGGCTAGGAATTGGACTTAATTATCCTTGGCAGTCCTTTCCAACTTGGCGCATTCTGTGATTCTGTGGTACCTTCTGTCTGCATGTGCAGGTGCATGGGAGAAAGCAAGCTGATGGTAATTGCACTGCCTGAAGAGCTGGGAACTGCTATACATCTTGCTTCTGTGTTATGGCTAAATTATATTTAACAAACAACTGAAATGGGTCTCTGTGAGTTGTGTTCAACTGTTTACTTACTTGGCTGATGTTGAAAGTAGGGGTCATATAGGCTGGCATCTAGTAATGTAAAAGGTCTATTAAGTTGCAGTTACCTGAGCCCTTGATCTGATACCATAGTTATTAGAAAGCTGTTACCTCAGTTCTTCACTGGACAGGATTTGAATCATTTTCCCACCATACATAAATTGTAACAGAAGTGTGCTGGCCTGCGAGGAGGTTTGTTTGCACTGCATAAACCAGTGCCTCTGTGTTGGGAAAGAGGTGCTGGGGGAGAAATTGCAGTTCATCTTTATAGAAAAGGAGAAACTTTGATCTAAACTGTACGGGGCTTGTAATGCTGGGAGAGTATTGCACATGGAGATGACCTCCCTGATCTAATAATTTGTCACAGCCAAACAGTTATAGTTCTTCGAGTTGCACTTTAGGCAAGCAGGGATAAAATATTGCAAGTATCTGTAGCCATTTAGGCTAAAAGAGAGAATTGTTTGTTTTATCAATATATAAACAATACAAGGGCAAAACTCTGCATGAGCCAAGTAACTGATTACAGACTGCATCATGGTTCGCTGGGTATTTTGGTATCTTGTACTTTTTACAAATCACTGTACAACTCAACCTGTTTCTTTCTGACTGTACGTGCCTTGAACTTTATCAGCTGTTACAAAGAGTTCAAAAATGTTTCCTTAGGAAGACTTTACTTTCATGGAATAGAATGTATTGTCACCAAAGCCTCCCTAGTTGAAATCCCAATTGTCCTCTCAGAAAAAATAAATTTGTGCCTTTAGACAGAGGTTTGTGAATTCTGTCTTAAATTTAGTATTTCGTACCTCTTCTGTCTTAAAGTTCTGGCTTATCTTTGTATGGGCTTGATATACTTTTCCCATGCTTCATTTTTGGAATGGGACATTTAATCATCTTTTTTGTACTCACTCACTGAATTTGGAGACCCACTG